TGACCCTGGGCCCCTCTCCTCGCCTCTGCAGGGCGCCTCCCCCCTCCCTCCCGCCCTCCGCAGTGGGACCGGCTCGAGGTCCGAGGTCAGGGCCTGGGCCTAGGTCTGCTCCAAGCACTAGCTCCCTGGGTCTCCCCACTTCCACACTCATGGCGGCCTGGTCGTTAACCCCTTCCCTCCACTCTGCTCCGCCGAGTTGGAATGTGTGGACACAGTCCAGGTGCCCGGCTCACCTGCCCCCGCAGCACCCCCCGGCCTCCTGCACAGGCAGCCCCTGCTTCCACCTCCCGAGACATTAGCCGGGGGAGGGGAGAGGTTCATGGCCCAAGGAGCTAGAGATGAAGAAATTAATTCACTTCCTAAAATCTCACTCCGTCTCCCCTGCTGCTACGTAACAGGCTCCTCTAGCTCCTGCTGCACTTGGGTTACCTCCCAGCGGCCGCCTCCCGAGTCCCAGGTGCCTGCCGGTACCACGGCCCCCAGCACGGTACCCATCCCAGAAGCTCCCCCTGGGACCCCCGAGGCCTCACACTGCGGGAAGTGAGCACAGCTCGGGTCCTGCTCCCTCACGCACAGCACCTGCTCGGGGTGAGCTGGCAGGTCTGCCCAGGAGGCCACTCTCACTGCTTCTTTGCGGGGTCCCCTTGCAGACTGACCTTTAAAGGCATCGGGCAAACAGGTCCAGGAGCAAGGGCCTCTCCTCCGTTTCCGGTCACTGAACAGAACGTATTGTGCACCTGCTCAGAGTCAGGCATCGTCCAGGGCACAGCATACAGGAGTGACCATACAGAGCGAACCGTATAGAGGGGGCCCCAGAACGGGACCGACGGGGGGGGCCTCCCTGGGGAGCACTGTTTGAGTTTATAGGCGCAAACTGTCAGGCTCACTGGCCCCAACCCCTCCTGTCACAGCCAGGACCTCGGTCCCAGGAATGTCTCCATCCGAGCTCTCATCCCCGGCCCTGCCAGCAGCCCACGTTTGTGAGTCTCACGTGACTCCAAGGTCATCTTCCTCTCAGAGGCTGGGGCGAGCCAGACACAGAGCCTTGCATTGCTGGTCTCTGCCCCTTCCCAGCCTGTGGCCTCGGAGAATCTCCCCGAGGGTTGCTTTCCTAATCTGTGAAATGGACGATCTGATTCCTGAGTCTCCTCAGGGGCTTGTGGGGAAGATCGGGCGAGATAACGAGGACACCACACAGGCCTGTGGCAGCCGGTGGTCCTCACACACGGCTCCCTTCTGGCTTTCCCTTTCCATGTCCCTCTCAAGGTCATTCCTGCACAGGCCACTGGTGGCTCTAAAACGCCCCCTCCCCTTAACCTGGCCGTACCTTTCTGTGCCCAGTTCCCCCTTCCTGTCGCCTCAGGAAAGTCAGAGTGGTCTCTCTCTTTTTTTTTAACTCCTTAGTGTTCCAGGCGTCTCAGTTCTCTGTGAGGCTCTTAAGGAAAGTTTATTGGTCCCAATTAGCAGCCCCATTAAGGAGGGAAATTAGAGCCTTAATGAGCTTCTTCTGATTAGCAAAATAACAGGTTTCCCAGCCCCTGGGCATCATAGGGGTGGGGTGAGAGCCACCTCCCCTGTGGGTGTCAGATACGTCTCCAGCCCCCAGTCTGGGTTCAAAGGGTTATGACTGATGAGCTTTTAATTACACTCTTACATTCATCTCCTTGCTTAGTTGTGATCTTGAGATCTGGATCAGGGATCAGGAATCGGGCCTGTGGGGGTGGTGTGGGCAGGCACAGTGAAAACTAATGCCCAGAAAAACGGCTTGGTAGGACCTGAAGTTTACATAAGGAGGCATGAGAGCTGGGGGGATGGGCAAGTCTGGAGTAAAAAAAAAACGCGGGAGATAGCTCCCATTGTGTGCTCCTCTCTCCCCCCAGGGTCCCTGGAACCAGGCAGCCCTGAGCTCCGGGATGGAGCCCGAAGCAGTGCTGTGGGGCCCGGATCTGCGGGGTCCTGAAGGGAGCCCCGGCGATGCTCACAGAGGTGAGGGGCACAAGAAGGGACGGCAGTCCTGGCAAGACAGTGGCCCCAGTTCAGGGAGGGGCCCAGACTCTGGGGGAAGCCCAGGGGAGGGGAGAGAGACGGACCCCGCGTTCTGAAAGGAGATGGGGGCTGGAGACTCCCTTTCTCTCTGTAGGTGCCGAGAGTGGGAACGAAGAGGAGAGCCCTCAGCAGGAAAGTTCTGGGGAGGAGATCATCTTGGGCGATCCAGCTCAGAGTCCAGAATTCAAGGACCCACCAGAGATGCCCCCGGAGAGGCCCTCCCAGGACCCCTCAGCCCCCCAGGACCCCCCCTCTCCCCTGGGTCACCCCCACCCCCTGGACCACCAGACTCCTCTTGACCCCCCAACCCCGGAGGTAGTCCCTACCCCGTCTGACTGGACCAAGGCCTGTGAGGCCAGTTGGCAGTGGGGGACCCTGACCACATGGAACAGCCCCCCGGTGGTCCCTGCCAATGAGTCCAGCCTGCGGGAGCTGGTGCAAGGCCGCCCCTCCGGGGCCGAGAAGCCCTATATCTGCAACGAGTGCGGCAAGAGCTTCAGCCAGTGGTCCAAGCTGCTGCGGCACCAGCGCATCCACACGGGCGAGCGCCCCAACACCTGCTCCGAGTGCGGCAAGAGCTTCACGCAGAGCTCGCACCTGGTGCAGCACCAGCGCACGCACACGGGCGAGAAGCCCTACAAGTGCCCGGACTGCGGCAAGTGCTTCAGCTGGAGCTCCAACCTGGTGCAGCACCAGCGCACGCACACGGGCGAGAAGCCCTACAAGTGCACCGAGTGCGAGAAGGCCTTCACCCAGAGCACCAACCTCATCAAGCACCAGCGCTCGCACACCGGCGAGAAGCCGTACAAGTGCGGCGAGTGCCGGCGCGCCTTCTACCGCAGCTCCGACCTCATCCAGCACCAGGCCACGCACACCGGCGAGAAGCCCTACAAGTGCCCCGAGTGCGGCAAGCGCTTCGGCCAGAACCACAACCTCCTCAAGCACCAGAAGATCCACGCGGGCGAGAAGCCGTACCGCTGCACGGAGTGCGGCAAGAGCTTCATCCAGAGCTCGGAGCTGACCCAGCACCAGCGCACGCACACCGGCGAGAAGCCCTACGAGTGCCTCGAGTGCGGCAAGAGCTTCGGCCACAGCTCCACCCTCATCAAGCACCAGCGGACCCACCTGCGCGAGGACCCCTTCAAGTGCCCGGTTTGCGGCAAGACCTTCACGCTGAGCGCCACGCTGCTGCGGCACCAGCGCACGCACACGGGCGAGCGGCCCTACAAGTGCCCCGAGTGCGGCAAGAGCTTCAGCGTCAGCTCCAACCTCATCAACCACCAGCGCATCCACCGCGGGGAGCGGCCCTACATCTGCGCCGACTGCGGCAAGAGCTTCATCATGAGCTCCACGCTCATCCGCCACCAGCGCATCCACACGGGCGAGAAGCCCTACAAGTGCTCCGACTGCGGAAAGAGCTTCATCCGCAGCTCCCACCTCATCCAGCACCGTCGCACCCACACGGGCGAGAAGCCCTACAAGTGCCCCGAGTGCGGCAAGAGCTTCAGCCAGAGCTCGAACCTCATCACGCACGTGCGCACCCACATGGACGAGAACCTGTTCGTGTGCTCCGACTGCGGGAAGGCCTTCCTGGAGGCCCATGAGCTGGAGCAGCACCGGGTGATCCACGAAAGAGGGAAGACACCGGCCCGGAGAGCGCAGGGAGACACGCTGCTGGGGCTCGGGGACCCCGCCCTGCTCACCCCGCCCCCTGGAGCCAAACCACACAAGTGTCTTGTCTGCGGAAAGGGGTTCAACGACGAGGGCATTTTCATGCAGCACCAGAGGGTCCACATCGGAGAGAACCCCTACAGAAATTCCGACGGCCTCGCCGCACACCCAGCCCCCAAGCCTCCTCAGCTCCGACCTCCCAGGCTCCCTTTTGGGGGCAATTCCTACCCAGGTGCTTCCGAGGGCAGAGCTGAGGCCCTAGGACCGCCCCTTAAAGTGCCCGAGGGGCAGGAGGGCTTCAGCCAAAGGCTGGGCCTGCTCTCCTCCAAGTCCTACATCTGTTCCCACTGTGGGGAAAGCTTTCTGGATCGGGCTGTGCTCCTCCAACACCAGCTCACCCACGGCAACGAGAAGCCCCTTCTCTTTCCTGATTATAGGATTGGCTTAGCAGAAGGGGCAGGGCCCAGTCCCTTCCTAAGTGGAAAGCCCTTTAAATGCCCTGAGTGCAAAAAAAGCTTTGGGCTCAGCTCTGAGCTGCTGCTGCACCAGAAAGTCCATGCAGGTGGGAAAACGCAGAAGAGTCCAGAGCTGGGCAAGAGCTCCTCCGTCCTCCTGGAGCACCTCAGGAGCCCCCTGGGGACCAGACCCTACAGCTGCTCAGATTGTGGGGCCTCCTTCCTGGATCGCCTGGCCCTCATCCGGCACCAGGAGACACACACCCAAGAAAAGTCCCCCAGACCGGAAGACCCCCTTCCAGAGCCAGACACCCCACCCCCAAGCCAGGAAGGTGAAAGGGAGGCCCCCGCACCCGCAGGGAGCAGCAGCCCTGGGGAAGGGGAAACCCCCAAAACTCTCTCGGAAGAAAAGCCCTATCTGTGCCCCGAGTGTGGAGATGGCTTCACAGAGGTCGCAGCCCTCCTCCTCCATAGGAGCTGCCACCCAGGGGTTGCCCCGTGAAATGGGTCTGGAGGCCGGGGCCTCTCTCTCCTGAGAGGAACACTAGATCTCCCCAAATATTGTACGAGAAAAGAAAGAAAACCCTATCAGATTGTAGACGTGTGGAGGATAAAGGACCCCGGGTAAAAATAGTGCTTTTATATCAGTGGTAAGAAACCCTATAAATTGTTGGTGGGAACCACTTATAATGCAGTAGAGAAAAACCGTTGGGTTAGAAACCCTATAAATATGTAGGAAAAAAAGCCCTTTAAGTCTGTAGCAGAAGATCCCTATAAACTATAGTGGATAAAAGCCCTATTAATTGTAGGATGAGGTCCCGTATGTCTCTAGACAACCCTAGAAAACTGTACTGAAACCCTTGTAAAACTGTAGGGTCGGGGAAGTGCAGGGACTATAGCAATGGCATTGACTTGGGAGCAGGGACCCTCGGAAGGTGTGAGAGAACCTCCCGTGAACTTGTTCAGCAGTGTCCTCTCCTCCTGGCGTGTGGGAGGGGCTCACCCCAGACGCCTTGGACAGTCACCCTGAGTAAAATGTGGGGATTGGAAAAGGAAGCAAACAAAGACAGGACAAAAATAAGTGATGAAGAGCCCTCAGATCCACAGAGGAGAAATGACCCAGGAACTAGGACGAGAAAGTCCAGCTCATTGCACTGGGGGTTCCTCGGGGTACAAGGCCAATCCCAGACAGATTGTGTGTTAAGAGGTACAGGCCCATGGAATTCCTTAGCAGAAAGAAGCCAAAAATGGGGAAGGAAAAAAATGCGACGTTGAGCCTTTTAAAGGCTGATGTTTGGGGTGCATATAACTTTAAGTGTAAGAATACTGGGGAACCACCACAAAAATTGTTTTAAAGGCTGATGTTTGGGGTGCATATAACTTTAAGAATACTGGGGAACCACCACAAAAATTTAGGGGGAAGAGTCAGGGGATTCTGTTAGAGTGCTTTGAGGGAAGGAAACCCAGTGGAGAAACTGTTCAGACGGAACCCAGCTAACTCCCGGCTGTCTTCCCCGTTCCTGGGAGCTTGTTAAGCTGCAAGTGCAAGCAGACCCCAGCCAGGCCGCCAGGGTCCTCCCCAGCCAGGCAGGACACCCCTTTCCTGGGGACTTCTGTTCTGAGAGGCCTCCAGGAATGGAGGGCCCCTCCTGCTTACATCTCAGGTCTCACTGACAGGAGGTTCCTCCTGAACTCTAACTGCCACCCTTGTCACTGCAGTGGCAGCCCGTTTCCTTGAATTCTGTCCTCAGTGAAGAGGGAGAACTGCTGCTAGTTGACCTCCAAAGAATAAAGCCCTTCCCCTTGGGAGACTCAAGGCCTGTGTGCGCATAAATCCTCTGGAGCGTGCTCTTCTGCAAGTCAGCGGGAGCTCTGGTAGGTTCTCTGGCAACGAGAGACAGCAAGTTAAGAGAATAGAGAGATTTGATTGGTCAGCGATCTGCTCTTAAACCTCACTCTCTCCTCTGAGCTGATAGCAAGGCTGCTGGCAGGATAAGCCAGCCTGTACAGTGATGCGTGTCCAAACACCCCACAGAAGAGTATATGGAGACCTGACCACCTTCCTCGCCCCATACCTGGAGCCCTCTAAAGTGACAACTCAGCCGGATTGTGGTCTTGGGAAGGGATTCCACCTACTTGACTCCTCTCCTCTCAGTCAGAAACCTTCAGAGCGAAATGGAAAGATGAGAGCCACACCCCTGCCAGACCCATCTCCTGTTCTCACACACCACACACAGTGACCCGCTTTCAGTAACCCAGCCAGACCTGCGAACATGACTGGATGTATGCAGCAGGGGAGAGACTGTTGCCCTCTGAAATGGTTGGAGAAAACGCTTGAAACATCTGTAACAAGAACCCATTCCCTAACCTTGGAGACACCATCCAGTGCTGGGTCCAAAGGAAGTGCCCCCTGACCCCAGTAATGCACTGTGGTCCTGGAGTAAGACCCAACGTGCCAGGAGAGGTGGCCCCTTCAGGAGTCACGTCCCTGAGAGGGTGACCTGGAATCCTACAAAGCTGCGGAAGAGACGTCTCATTTCATTACCTGAAGTTCAAAAGGTGAAAGTCCATCTCTCATCTCCCCTGCCCCCCAAAGGATAACCCTCAAATTCAAAGGATCAAAACCGAGAACACTAGGAGGAAAAGGCCAGGCCTGCTGGGAGGAGAAGGCAGGCATGGCATGAAGGTGGGGAGACCCTTCCTGCCGTCTGCATTGAAGTCCCACCCGACCCAAGTGCAAGGTCGGAAAGCACTACTGAGGGGAGGAGCCTGCCTGCGGAAGCTCTGCCAACAGAAGCCTCCACAAAGGGCGCGTCCCCGTGAGACAGGACAGGACACAGTCCTCCACGTCCAAGCAGATTCTTTTCCCTCTAAGATGGTAGCAGAAAGAAACTCCAGTGGGGGACAAACCCCCTTTAAAGGTAGAAGCAGAACCCCCATAACCGTCTGAGAAATCTGTCTCCAGGAGAGTCCTGGGGAGCAGCCTTCGGAGTTCGGGGGCCAGTCCAGGGGGAGGTGGTCAGTGTGGTCAAAGGCCGGCTGCGGGCCTATTGAGGACTTGGGTGTAGCATATGTAGTGGGATGCTCGCATGTTGTAGGAACGGGTTAGGGCCAGGAGTTGAGGCTCCGGTACTTCAATGGATGATGTGGATTCGATGAGTTGGGGTCTGGGGTTCTGTAGCAGGAAAGGGGCAGTCAGAGACCTTTGGGGTATGACCTGTTCTCTGTTGCCCACTTCCCCAAACTCCTTAAGCCAGGTGCTCCTCTCCCAGAACAAGTTACATCTGGGGAGGAAGTAAGCAGGGGATTTGTTGGGGGAGGTGGCAATGTCCAGAGTCCCTCTGACCAGCTCAGGCAGAGGCCCGGATCGCCCTGGAAGGCCTCTTGTCCAACTCCACGCAGGCCTGACTCTTCAGAAGTGCCCCACTGAGGAGCCCAGCAGCTAGGGTCACAGAGTCATTGGTGAACGCAGAGGGAAGAATAGAAACTGATCTGAGCTTAGGGTGAAACTCGAAACTGCTATGGATATGGAGGTCAGAAGGGAACTCGAAAGAACTGGGCATGAATCCCGAATGATGGGGAAACTTGACACCATCACCGAGAGGGGGTTCCATGGCACCTGCCCCTGAGGTGAGCAGCCCCAAACTCCTTTGCCCTCATTAGGGAAGCCCCTCACCTTACTTGTGCCCCTGGAGTGAAGAGAGGCCCCACTTTTGAGTGTTGTGTGTCAATAACAGTGTTGTGTCACTGGTGGTCATGTTGATTAGTAGAAGAGAATAAAGGGAATAAGATTTCCCAGGCGTTTTCTGTCTTCTCTTTGAACCCTAGAGCAAGCTGAAAGAGCTGTCCCTCCCCGAGAGCCAGGGTCCGTATGTAACCCCAAAAGCTCAGCCCAGCTCCAGGCTGCCCTTGCAGTCTTTTCTCAAGGCCCTAGAATCCCCACCCTGCACGTGCTGGTGAAGGTCTATTGAGTTTTAAAATCCATACCCTTGGGAGAGAGGGGGAGAAACGTTCTGAGGTGGTGGCAGAGTTGGCAGCTCTTGCTGATTGATGTCTGGCTTTGGCACCAGCGCGTCCTGCTGACTCCTGGGTGACTGCCTGGTGACTGGCGCTGGCTGGCTCAGGTCCAGCTGTGCAGCTCCACGGAGGCCTCTCTGGCCACAATACCTGCTCCCTCCCCAGACTGCCACGTGGGAAAGCTCCAAAGACCGAGTTCCAGAAGCTGGCGGCCACCTTCCCTGGTTCACCTGGGTACTGGACCTGGCCCAGCCCTTTATCTGGACCATAGCATCCTAGACTCTAAGGAGCGGTGGTGGTGGAGACCTGGCTTGTCACCTTACTCTCAGGCTGTAGTCCACAGCCCTCACCGTGTGGAGAGGCTGAGGCTCAGAGAAGGGCAGCCACTTGCTTCAGAGCCACAGCAAGGAAGGGAGGGAAATGCAAATGGCCAGGAGCACCTAACCAAGCCTCTCCCCCACCGTTGGGCCTGCCTGGGCTCCACGCTGGGCCAGGCAGGGTTGCTCTGATGAATCCTCAATGCTGGGCTTACCTCTGAGCTATCTCCTAGGCCTAGGCCTGGTCATGGCGAGCCTGAGGTCAGCACCTGCTTTAACCCATCGCCTGCCTCTGCCCCGGTCTGCCAGGAGTCTCCTGCGCCAGCCAGGAAGCTGTCTCCCACCTTCCTTGTGCCTCTCTGACCCAGACTCCCAGGAAAGGCTCACTGCCTCTCCTTCCCCTCCCCCTTCCCCATGTGGAAAGCAAGGGGTGAGGTAGGGGAAAGGAAGGAGGGACTTGCCTTTCATGGAGAGGTAATGAAGGCTATCTCACATTCCCCGTGTCCCCAGTCCTGGGGACAATTGAGGGACATCAGAACTGGTCTCGGCATAGGAGTAAAGAGAGGAGCCTCCAGGGAGAGAACTGGCGCTAGAGTAGTGATTTGTTCAGACTTAGAAGGGGCTGTGGACCCAGGCACGGTGCCTGCCACAGCACTACATCAGGAAACTGGCTAAGGAAGTGACCTAAGGAATGAGGATTGTGGCAACAGGAAATGGTATAGGTAGGGGCGGGGGGCAGGGGGGGAATAAAGGGTGCATAACAGTTGGGTGTGGGTTTAGAACAGAGCGGGGTGGGGATTGAGGGAAAGTAGAGAGCAGAGGCCAGAGTGTGGAGCATCTTGTTTGAGGAGCCTTGGGACAGGGCACCACTGGGGGATTTTTAAGGAGAGACATGATCTCACCCCCGACTCCCCCCCCACCCCACGTTTGGACTCAGGAAAGAGAACTGGGCTGGAGGAGTTGGGCCATAGCAGCTTAGCTGTAGCTGTGGCCACAGATAAACATACCCAGGAGGAGTGGCAGAGTAGAAAGAGAATTTAGGAAGAGGACCAGCAGAAAATAGTAAATTTGAGGAAAACTAGGGGAGTGTAGCACCACAGGGCTGGAGGGAAGTTCTGGAGAGGTCAGTGCTAAATGCTCCGCTGGACCCTGTGTCCAATCACAGACAGTAGCCCTAGTTCTGGCTGAAACAGGCACCTTCATCAGAAGGCCAACATCTGCTCACCCTCAAGATGCCAGGCAAGGTCAGTTCTGGCCTGGCGTCCAAGGAATCCAGGGCATCACAGCCACGGAGGCCACTGGGCTTGTAAGAGGCCAAAACTCCTGGCTGGAGGGGCCTGGCCAGCCCCTAAAGTAGATCCTCCCAGCACGGGGCAGGCCACTGCAAACCAACGTTTATGGAGTTTACTCTGTACTCCTGTGGCATCAGTGCTTGCTCCTGTCACTGAAATCCTGGCATCTTTCTCTCATCCCCTTGGGCTTGAGCGTGAGAATGTGGTCTGATGCCCACTTTATCAGGTAGGAGGGCTCACCAGCAGTTTTAAGCTCCTCTGGATATGGAAGATACGTGGGGAGGCGATATGTAGTAACCTGCATCGAAGGAGCCCACAGGGGTGGCTCCTGGGAAAGGGGTGACTCAGAGGACTGGCTGACCCCGACCCACTCCCGGGCACCAGAGCCTCTCGGCGCCAAGCAGCCTCACTGTGATGCAACGTGCTGCGTTTCCCTCACCCTCGCCACTGCTGCCCTCGAGCCACGCACATTTTTTCGGAGGCTCGATGCCATCTCCGGCCACGGCCCGTGCCTCGGTGAGCGTCCCCGCCACCTCCAGCACAGCGCAGGAAGCCACTGTAGCCCGCGTGTCCGTCTCCAGTCCGACCTGGCCCAGCCGCTGCAGCCCCGCCGAAAGCCTGGGCGCCAGGTGGGCCCCACAGACAGACCAGGTTGCAAGCCCCTGTGAAGGCGCGACTGCAGGACCGCACGAAAGTGGGACTGTGGCCAAGCTCGCGGCCGCTAGCCTGGCCATGGCCCCGACGCCAGCGCCGGAACCAACCCCGGTCAGCACCGGCCTCGGTGGGAGCCCCAGTACAGCCTCAGTGATGGCTCTCTCCGACCCGTCAACACGCTGAACCCAGAAGTGCCCCTCGACACTCGAAACGGTCCCGAGGGGACACGCGACACCCGGTGACCGCCGGCGCAAATTGCAATGAAGAAAGGCACACACCGAGGCGTCCCGATCTGTTTGCCTGAGGGGGAGGGCCTCCCGCAGGACGCAGGGCCACTTCCCCCCGCCCCCAGGACCTGGTCGCTAGGTGCCAATTGGGAACTCCATTTCCCAGGATGCAGCTGGGCGCTCCCCTGCAGCCAATGACTGCCAGGGGTGTGGCCAGCCCCGCGCAGAAGGGTCAGCTCTTCCCAATGGGAGGGGCCCGCTGGCTCCAAAGGGGCGGGATGCTTTCTCCCTGCAGGCACGCTCCTCCCTCGAGCCCAGCCAGCAACCTCTGGCAGCCGTTAGGTCTGAGCGTGACGCGCTGGGGTGGAGAGGAGCAGGGTCTCTCATCTGTACAGAAGCTCCAGGTTCACACGCCAGGCGGGGCAGCCGCAAGACAGGTAGCAGCTAAAATCGTTTAGGGCATGGAACCTGGCTACTCGGACCACAGGCTGGAGGTTGGATGTTTATTCATGACATACAGCCTATATTACAAGACATCTCTAGAGCAGGGGCTGTGAGTCCGAGTGGCCCCTTGCACCTGTCAGCAGCTCCACCTTCCAGGCCAGGCCTGCTGCCCTCACAGCCCAGTTTGCTTGGGCAGGCAGCACAGCAAGCATCGTGGTACAGGCTCAGTTACAGGGCTAGATGAAGCTCTTCTACCTGGAATGATCAGAAGTTCTGCCTCCACTGCAGTTAAGGCCACCAGGATGAAAGCAGAGTCAGGGCTGGGGACGGGTTGGGAAGCGTGAGGTGGGGTAAGAGGGCTTGGGAGAAGATATCCAGAGGGGCCTGATTAGAATAGAAACGTGATCTTGGTTCAGCACTCCCAAAATAAGGGCAAGGTGACTGCAGCAACCACAGAGCTTCCCGAGGAAGAGGACTGTTACTCCTTACGCACAAGAGCCGGACCAAAGAGCCCAGGGAACTCCACAGGAGAAGCCCTGTCTGGGCCTGGAAGGCAGGGAGCAAGGGGCTGGAACCCAGCCCACCCTGGTCCTCACTTGTGGGTGTGTAAGCAGGTAGTGAGTGAGTCTCCTCTTCCATGGGGGTCACAGCCTTGGGATTTCCCCCTTAGGGCTGGGATGGACCTGGGTGCTCACAGATCTTTCCTGCATGGTGGGTGCCTCAGCTCTGACTGGAGAAAAGGTGGGACTGAGCTTGGCTGACCCCACTCCCACTAGCATGCACTGGAGACCCCAAGCCGACTGGATGGGCAGGGGCTGGAGGCACAGCCCCCAGGGCCCACGGGTGTTCCAAAGTCCCCTGAGTTACGGGTTCAGCTGATGTAGACTCGGTGGAAGTCATGGGCACCAAAGGCTGCATTGCACTTGGGACACTTCCTCTGGCGGGCCTCATAGCGGCCCCGCACGCACTCGAAGCAGAAAACGTGGAAGCACTTGGTAAGCACTGCGTCCTTCTTGCGCGTGTTACAGCAGGGGCAGGTCAACCGCGCCTGGGGCAGGCAAAGGTAACCGATCAGCTCAGGAACAGTCCTGATGGTGCCCAGAACCCCAGCCGACAGCAGGAGGTGGTTCTGGCTGTGCTATCACATATACAGCCAACTGCATCCAACTCTCCATAGCCCTGGGAGGTGTGCATGAGCACTCTACACGAGGGAACCGAGACTCAGAAGAAGCTGGTCTCAAAGCTACACAGTCGCAGTCTGGATTCTAACCTGGCAGTGGTGGCCAGTGGTCACATGTTCCCTCTCAAGGCCAACAGCCCACAGGCTCAGCCTGGGCTTCTCTGCCCTTGGGCTTCATCTCTTTCCTCTCTGTTCTTCTCTGGAAAAACCCCAATCCTGGCTTAAGCCAAATGTCTACTTCACCTGCACCTCTAGTCACAGGGGGGCATGGCAGAGCCACTAGAAATATGCAGTCTCTACCCTCAACTGGGTCCAGAGATCCTGCTGTGGGTCCCTGGAAGTTTTACAAATCTCTGCTCCTATCCTGATACCTGCCACCAGGTCTCTCCTCCGACTCCAGACAGGAATTCCCTCAGCTCAGCATTCACAAACATTCCTCCTCTGCTCGGCTTGAAATCCCAGCCCAGCCACCACCACCACCTCTAGCCCTCAGAACCCTACACCAGCATTTGACAGGATCCAAAGTCTGTCTCCTCTTGAGAAATCCTTCCCTTACCCACCATAGCTGCCTGCAGCTGCCTCTCACCCTTTAAGGCCAAACTGTTTCAAAGGTTTGCGACCCACCTTCCACCCTCTCTTCACTCCAGTTAGCGAGTGTGCAGGTCATGTCAGCTGACCTCAACTCCACCCCCACCCGTCCCAGAACCATTCCCACCAAAACTGCCGCATCCAGGGCATCTCTCATCACTCCCTTCATTTGCCCTCTTGGCCACTCTGGTTCAGCTCACCCCCTCCTCCTTGAAGTGCTTCCCCCATCAACTCCCTCTATGATCATCACTCTCCTTCACCCCAATCCATAGGCTTCTCTCTCCAGCCCATCTTTAAAGCTTTGAGGTTCCTAAGGAGAATGACCCCTGTCCCTTCTTATGCCAGACCCTCACTTCTATTTCTGCCTCAGCTGATAACCCCCAAACCTCTGTTCTCCAGACCTGCCCTTTTGCTTTGAGTGCCTTCCCAGATGTCCCGCAGGCACCGTGTGCTCAACATCTCTGAACACTGTCCACCAACCCCTACTCCTATTCAGTCTTCCTAATGCCACTAAATGCCACTCTTCATTCACCCAGTTTCTCACATCAGGTACCCAGGAGTTCAGTATTTTTGTCTCCCTCCAATCACTGAATCCAAGCAATTCTGCCTCTTAAGTATCTCCTTAGCCCCTCTACTTGTTTCTTAGTATCAGGTTTTGCCTCAACGATTACAATAGCTTAACAAACCCCCCTGCCTCTAGTCTTTACCTACTTTAACCCAAATCTGACAGCAAATCAGACCACAACGCTCTGGTTTAAAACCCTTGCGTGTCTCCATGTGGCCAACCTGGTTTACCGCACGTTTGATCCTGTGTCAAATGTTTCAAGTTGACACTGCCCAGTGTTCTCGGGCTGGCTGGTCACTACAAAACCCACATTCTGTCCTCCAAGTACAAGGTCCGGCTGTCCTCCAGCACCCCTCTCTCAATTAGGGGCCTCACCTCTGCCTTCCCCTTTGCCAGAATCCTCTTGTCCCATTCCTCACAGCCAACTCGGACTCATCCTTCATGTTTCTTTAGGATGACATTCCTTCCAGGAAGCCTGCTGACCCCCAGGGCGGTTTAAGAGCCTCCCTTCCCCCGGGGATCCCACACTGCTGATCACTCAGAGGGGAGAATTGGCTGCCTCCTCCAACACACTGTCAATTTCAAGAGCTCTGTGACTAGGTCTAGTTCCAGGCCCTCCCACCCCTGGCCAGGCACTGCCTGACCTGCAGTATGTGTACAATTCTTGGTCAGTTGTCTGATTCTCCATAACCGGTTCTGCCCACTTTTTGCTATCCTACCTTATTTCTGGGGTCCCCAGACTACCCACTAGTGCTCCAACCAGCCCCTCATTTAAGATTCCTAGGTTGATGGGGCACAACTGAGCCCCACAGCCCCACCTTGTACTCCTTGATCTCCTCCTGGAGGATTTCATCCGCATCTGCATAAACCTCCACCTTCCTCTGCTTCTCCAGCTTGCGCCGCAGTCGTGAGATGTCCTCCTGAAGCAGGACAGGGGCTAGGCTGAGTACAAGGGTCTGCATCCTGACCCCCGCCACCCCAGGCCACACCAGTGACCTTGTCCCCACCATGCGCACACCTGAGCCCTCTTGAGGTTGAAGCTCTCTTTCTCTCGAGCGGCCCGGCTCTCTGCCAAGCAAGGCTGAATCTCTCGCAGCCGCGTCTGCACATGCTCCAGCTGTACCTTCAGGTCCTCAGCCAGCTGGGCTGCTTCCACAGCCTGAGGGAGGGAGACAAGGAGGGCACCATTCTCCTGAGCCTACGGAGCTAGGCACCATGGTCCACAGATGCTTGTGTCAAACATTCCAGTGATTCTTGCTCCTGGGATTAAGTCCAATTTTCTTCACTGGAGCTGGTCCCTCCTGACCTCTGGACTCATACCTCCTCCTATTCTTCCTCATTCCGGACACTTTCCTCAGCTGCGTAACACTCTCTCCTGACTCCAAGCTTTCACAGGGCTGTCCCTCTGCTACAACTCCAATACATACGTCTCTCCTGCAACTCCCTCAACTTAAATGTCACTTCATATTTTTTTATACAGCCACCTTAGTTATCCCTCACAAAACTTGCTATGATCTGTGATAACATTATTTTATCTCTGGGATCACTGGCTGGCTATCTGTCCCTAAAGACTGGAATTTCCCTCTTCTAATAGGACCCTCTTGTTCCCATGGTCTCCCCAGCACTCAGCACGGGGTCGGGTATATACAGCAAGGGCATGTACACTGCCTAAATTAGGGGTGGGGAACGTTTTTCACCAAGGCCATTTGGAAATTTATAACATCATTCGCTTAATATCGTTCACTTACTATAAATTTGGTTGCTATGAAAAAAGCTCCTAGATTTATTGAATTTCGAGCCCCCTGCAATGGCCTCGGCAGGGCCGGACCGAATGATTTCGCAGGCTTTCTACTGATCCCCACCCCCGGCCTGAATGAATGGATGAAACAGGAGGAAAAGGCCCAGTGGAGAAAGAAACTGAAAATCAGTATCTATCTTAAGCCTTTACCACGAACTAGGTATTTCTTAGTTTTAATACAACTGTGTGACAGGAACCACCATCCCCATTTTACAGGTCAGGATGCGGGTCCTAGAGCCAAGGAGACCCACCGAACCCAAGTTCTACTCTTCCTTGAGCAAGTCAGCTGACCTCCTGCGCCTTAGTTTCCTCACGGATAACAAGAAAAACCATCACAGGATCATTATGAGACTGAAATCTGACCAAGTGTGGGAAGTCCCCAGCACAGGGTCTGGAACATAGTAAGAGTTTGAGACGTGAGCCTGACTTCTTCAGCTGTGAGCCAGCATCTTCTGTTGCTTCCCCTGGGCCCGGCCTCACCTTCCTCTTATTGAGCTCCAGGGCCTGGCTGCGCAGCGTCAGCTCCTTCTCCACACCTCCAAGGCTGCCCTGCAAGGCCCGCTCTTTTTCCTCCAGCTTCTGCACGGTCAGCAGCTGGGCATCCACCTGAGGACAGGGGTAGCGATTCAGTGCTGGGAAGCCCCTGCCTCTCCAGCTCCACCCTACAAGCCCAGGGTGACCATACCTGAGACTTGAGGCCAAGAACCTGCTCACCCAGCTCATCCTTCTCCTCCCGCAGCAGCTTGTGAATCTGGTTGGCCTTGATCCGCTCCGACATCAGCTTGAAGTTGGCATCGTCCTTTTCCCGCAACTGCTGTAGCAGCCGCCCATTTTGCTCCTGCATGTCCTCAAAGGCCTGCCCTGTCACATCCATCTCCGACAGCAGAGCCTCCTCCTCCTGTATGGGCAAGGACCGATGGAGTGTGGTAGATGGACAGGAGGACCATGGGGAAACCCCAGGAACACACGACTGAGCAAAGAACCACCGAGTGGAACCAGGCCATCTGCTAGAAGCACCCAAGACTGGGGGGTTGGAGGGAGCGGGTAAAGGGAATCCTAACATTTAGAAGCAAGAGAACCACAAGAGGCTCACACCTGCTTGGTGGCACCCAACTTGCGCTGCAGGTGTTCTATCTGCTCCTCTGCCTGCCGAATGCGCCTCAGGGCATCTTCATCTGCAATCTTCTTGCTCTCCCGTCGATCCCTCTCCTCCAACTCCCGGATACGACTCCGTAGCTCATCGACCTACAGCCGCCAGAAGGAGGGAGCTCTCTTGTCATGGCTTCCTGCTGATCTAGGGCTCTGCTTTGGTCAGAACCCTATGGGGTAGCCTCTCTATATGCCCCACAAGCCCTTCCTGACCTCACCTCGGCCTTGGCCTTGCGTTCAGCTGCCATGAGCTGCACCTTATCCCGCTGCTCCTTGGGTGCTGATTTGTACATATCCAGCAGCAGCTTCATTTCCTTCTGGCTTTCCTGGGCCTTCCTGGGAGAGGCACAGGAGGACTTGGTAAGTAGGGCTGGAGACCACTTGGCAGGGGTGGGAAGAAGACAGGAATAGGGCCTCACTTGAGCTCTGCTCGGAGACCTTTAAGGAGTTCTGACTCCTTCCTCTTGGCCTCCTCCACCTTGGCCTTCTCCCGATCAGCTCTTGAAAGTGCTGAGGCTATAGACTGGGGTCCCAGGCCAGGCCCTTCCCGCTCCCGAAGCTCCCGTTTGGGCCTGGCCTCAGGTTCTCGGCCCCGGGAAGAGGGGCCCTGGGACCCGGGGGTTAAGGCCTGGGCATCTTCCTCAGAGGGGACCAGTTCCTCCTTCTTTGCTGAGGAGGTAGTCATGGCGGCAACAGGCACTGACGCTATCTCCTTTCTGGTCTCATGGGCTCCAACAGGGCCTGGCCCGCCCTCTTCTTTCCCTACGGCTGGGGCACTGAGGCCAGAGTCCTCTGAGTGGCCCAGGTTGGGGATAGAGTGCGTAGAGCCACTGGCCTGGGCCCGGAGCTGCAAAGAACAGGAGAGAACAGGGCTGCAGTGAGATGGTACTCACTGGGGTCTAGCCAAGGCTTCTCCCAGGCAGCACTCTCCTCACCTTGCCAATCTCAGCCTGCACTTCCCGCAGCTTCCGCTTGTATCGCTGGGCATCCCCCTTTAGCTGGTGGTTGTGGTTTTGAAGACTGCTGATCAGATGGCGCATCTCACGGTTGATGGGCCCTAGGGGAGGGTTAGGGACTAACGTCAGACTGGCCCCTGGATTAGGGCCCAACTCTTTAGTGGGGGAAGAGGAGAAGCCAGAGCCATCACTCCCATTATAAAGAGGAAAACTGAAGCCTTATACAGTGTGACCTCATCAAAGTAATGCAGACTTTACAATATGACCTCATCAAAGTAATGTAGACTTTACTTTGAAGAAAATTCACCCAAAAGTAACTTCCCACTGTCTTTGTGTTATTTCTGCTCATGTACATTTTTAAATACTTCCAAATTTCCTTCAAAAGAACAGATAACAGTAAATTCACAAAAGTGAGTTAATCTACTTCTGGATTTTTAAACAAACGTCACCTTCTCAGTAATACATTTCTCAGGCCTCCCCATCCAAAACTGCAACACCCTTTCTCCTAATACTTCCTGTCTTCAATCCATGCTTTATTTTTCTTGGCATATTTGTCATTATCTAAAATACATATTCCATATTTTCTTCTCTATTCCTGCCTTCCCCCATTATAACAGTGCTCCAATGTTTTGTTCACTGGTATAATCCCAAAGCCTAGAACAGAGCCTGGCCATAGGTGGTATTAAATAACTCTTTCCAAAATAAATGAGTTATCTGAGAGAGACACCTGAAGGCCAGAGAGCCACAGGTGGGGCTGGCAGTTCATGTTCTAAGCCTGCTCCATCAACCACCTCAGCTGGTTGTTAAATCTTACTGTGCCTTTGAGCCAGGTGGTGTGGTACCTGTTTTCCACAGGGAGATGAGGCTCTGTGACAGGAAGGGTTAAACCTCTTGCATCTGGATGAGCAGCAGTCCCTCACTAGGGCCCAGGAATCCCAGATAAGGCCCACCTCCACCCTGTCCTCACCACATACCCGCCTGCTCGTTGGCCGCCAGGTTCTGTTCAAACTCGATGCGCAGCATCTCGTACTCCTTGCGTACCTGGGCCAGTGTGTCCTCCAGCTGGATAACCTCTGTGCGCAGCTTCTTCTGCAGCCCCAACTCATCGCTCTGTGGGTTGAGGCATTAAGGACCCACACAGTCCCTCTGCTCCCTGGCAAGCCCCCTGCCTTAGGCCTCAGTGGCTTAACAATTTATTCCCAAGGGACCCCTGGCAGGCATACAGGGACTCAGACCAGGAAAGCCTTAACCCTCAGGGTCTGGCACTTACCACAGCCCCCACCCGTTCTAGGGCCATACCTCCATGTGTTCAATGTGTCTCAGGTGGGAGTTCTTGGTGGCCAGCAGCAGCCCCCGGGCCTCATCCAGCTGGGTCTTCACTTGCAGAGACTCATTGTAAAGCAGTGAGAACTGGGCCTGCAGCATTCGATATTCCCCCGTCTCCCGTACCACCTCTTCAGGAAGACTACGTAGGGCCACCTAAAGGGAGGGATGCCCAAAAGTGATCAGTGAAAGGATTCAGCCCCCACCTTGCAGTCTTAGGCCCTCCCGGCCCCAAATGCCCACCTTGAGGCGCTCATTGGTCCGCACAGCCCCCTGAAGTTCGGCCTGTAGCTTCTCCAGCTCTGTCATGCGGTTATTGGCCAATTCCTGGTTTTCCTCTAACTCCGCATTCAGCATCTCAAACTGTGGGATGGGAAAGGCTGTGGCAGTCAGGGCCAGGCCAGGAGGCATGCTTCCTTCACATAAGCCCCACTCACGCTCTCCTATGTGCAGCAATGATGTACTCTGAAGCCCCTGGGACAAGCCAGACCTAAGCACTTTCCTAAGAGCTCCCAGGCAAGTGGAAGTAAACTCAATACTGCATGGTGAATGCTGGGAACCAAGGCCTGTAACGGACAAGGTGTGAGAGAAGGCTTCCTGGAAGCCCTGAAGAGTAAGATGAAGGAACGGGAATAGGGCATGGTGATCCCCCACAGCACCAAGAAAATGTGCAACGGCCAAGAGGTGAGAGCATAGGTAGGACAAGGAATGACAGTGATTAAATGCACTGTCTCAGCAAGGCTCTTCTTCAGCCACCCAACTAAGAATTCCAATCGTCCCCAACACTTCCATTTATCTACTGTCTACACTTTCTCCTTGTGGTGCTTATAACCACCTGATGTACTATTTTCCTTACTTCTTGTCAGTTCTCCCGACTAGAACTTAAGCTCCATGAAAGCTTTGGTTTTTGTCTATTTTGTTCTCCAATATGCTTGCTCCCAGCACAGTGCCTAGCACTTACTGTTTAGCAATGACCTACTGAACATAATTGTGCATGAATACAACAAAGAGCAGCATGAGTGACAGGGAAGGACCTCAGACACCATAATTCTGTGGGGAATGTCAAGGGTAGAGAAAAGATTATGGGAGGGACTGGGAAGAATGATACCTGCTCACCTTCTGCATGCTGAGTGTGATCTGGCCCCCCTGGAAGCCTGAGGAACTTCCAGACACATAGTAGCCAGAGTTGAGCTGTAGAGAGGAGAGAAAGAAAGACAGACAGACAGACAGATGAGTGTGAGGAGAGAACCTAGGGCCCTAGGTACCCAGCCCCTACATCTGACACAGCACCCTAGCCCCACCTGCTCCAAGGCCTCCGCCAGGTGCTTATTGAGCTTTTGCTCACGCTTGCGCAGCTTCTCAATGTCCCACTGCAGGTCCTCTACTGTCGTCTCCATTTCTAGCACTTTGGTCTCTGCTGAAGTCACTTTATCCTGGAGCTCAGAGTACTGAGAACAACGAAGAGGGCAGATGCTTAAATGAGGAGACTTGGTTCCCTAAGATCCTTGGGTGTCCACCTAACCTAGACCCTGCCCTGGGTCTAATCCCACCCCCAAAAATGCAACGCCCACCTCCAATGAGATACGGTGGTGCTTCTCCTGTAGCTGGGTGGCCAAGTCCTGAAGTCGCCGGTTCTCACGGCCCAGCTCCCGGGTGCGTGCCTGAGCCGCCTCACCAGGGTGTTCACTATCCCCTGGGAAGTCAGGGCTCGGGTCAGAGTCAAGTCCAGGGCAATGGGGAAAAGTGCTAACTCATTCTGGGGTCTGCTCTGTGCCCAGTGTGATCCACCATGACAGAGCTAGGAGTCTTTACCCCCATCGCACAGAGGAGGAAACCAGCTCGGAGAGGAGAGCCATCTGCCCAGAATGCCAAGGCTAGAGTGACAGAACTAAGGCTTGGGGAAGCCCGTCTGCCTACAAAGCCTGGGCACTTGCTGCTCTGTCTTGTGCAAAGTGCTCCAAAAAAGATATCCCGCCAAAAGGGGTTAGCCCCACTAGAATCAACAGCTCCTCTTCTCGATCTCTTTAGAGTTCAACTCCAGAAATCAAAGTCGGAGCCCCCATCTACAACCTAACCCTTCCCTGAGAACATGACTGATTTAGTCCTTGGGAAATTCTGGCTGCCTCTGGGTCAGAGGCATTGAAAAAGGGATAGAATAAAGATGCAAATTGGTATGGAGATCTCTGGGGCGGGGGCACAAAGCACTAACCTCCACTGTATACTCGCTGGCAGAGTTCCTCCACCTGGCGCTGCAGGCGGTCTGAGGCCTCCACGACACGGGACACGGCTGCCTTGGAGAACTCCATTTGGCCCTGTAGCTGCAGCTCCACCTCCTCATTGCTGCTGGCACCCAGTGCCACCACAAAAGCCAAGGCTGGCTCACTGAGTGGGGGCCGCAGCTGCATGGGCAGGGTCTCTAGGAGGGATGGAGACACTAATGAGGATAATAGCAGCAGTTACAACTCTGAACCAAGTTCCAGACTGAGCCATTCAACACTCTTCGGCTCACTGAATCAACACAAGGACACCTATAGTGCACTGTTATCCCCATCTTGAAATCAAAACAACAGAGATTCAAGAGGTAATTCCCCCAAGGCCACAATGCTCCCAATTATTTCTGCAGGGAAGCCTTCTCAAACTAAATTAAACCCACACCAGGCCCTGGCTGGGTCACTCGGTTGGTTAGAGCATCAGGTTGTGGGTTTGATCCCTGGTCAGAGCACATACAAGAATCAACCAACGAATGCATAAAAAAGTGGAACAACAAATCTATGATGTTCTCTCTCTCCCTAAAATCAATAAATAAAATAAAATAGAACCACACTCAAGTGCGCACACACTAATTCCCGTTCAGGGGCCCCTATACTTTTAACTTATGATTTACAATCACTTCTTCTCTGATGGCAGAGGTAGTATTTCTTTTTTGCTTATCTATGTCTCCTGCAAGTCTAGATCAGTGCCAGATACACAGTCAACACTCCATATTAACACTTTTAACTAAACGAATCTCAAAACATAAAATGCACTATGAACCAAGTCACTCAGATTCCAAAGCCTGTATTTTGACCCATTGTACTAGCTGCCCAAACATGAAATCAATTTTATGTGCCTGTGTGGGAGGGGAGGTAGGGACTCCAGGAGCCTAATATCAAAAGTCCCTTCCTCTCCAGGACCTTTCCCAGAATGTAATTAAGCTCCCAGGTCCTCGGGCTCTGGCCCTACCCCTCAGTTCTGACGTCCCTGGCTCTGTGAGAGGGGTCTCATCACGGGTCGGCCCCTCCTGGGTTCCAGGCGCCTCTGTCCCTGAAGACAGCTCCCCCTGGTTCTCATGGTGTCGAAGAAGGGTTTCCACAGTTTCATCCAGCTGAAGGGAGAAAGCACCAAAAATGTTATGAATTCCTCAGGTGCTTCCCTGATAACACTGCTTCCCAGCAGGAGTCTGAGAATGGGCAACTGGATCGAGGCCAGTCCTGAAAGGCAGAGGGGCATCCACCTGGGCCCAGTAGCGATTGACGATGAGGAGCGTGGCGTCGTCGGTGGCCTGCCGCTTTTCCAGCTTCTCGATGCGCTCCCGGAGCTCATCCTCACAAGCCTGTCGCTGCTCCAACCGCTCCGCTAGCTTCTTATTCTTGAACTGCAAAACCTTCAGGTCCATCTCCTCCTGCCACGGAAAGCGGGACCCAAGACATCAATCGGAGAGACGGACAGAGGACAGCAACGCAATGGGTGGGAGGAGGAGCCCCACGCTAACTAACAGGATTTACAGGGGCGCGGACACCCACAGGGCGCCTTGGTGGAGGAGGGGCCGCGTCTGTCTCCTCCGAACCCTTCTGCAGCCTGTTTTCCCATCTGGAAAGGGAGAGCAGACGTCTTGCTCTCGGTTTCCCTCAACAGAGTGTTCTGTAAAGTGGATCCTGCTAAATGTGGGGAGCTGGGAATACGGTTCCGGGCGATTTGGGCGGAGAACAGAGTTGGGAGAACAGAGTTGAGGGAGGGAACGAACCGTAGAAGAGATGCCCCCCAGACGAATGGGTTCTATAAGCGTGGTCGTGGTCTTCTCCTCGCGGCTCAACTTCTCTGGGGGCCCCGAGCCCCCGTCGCCGGCGGCGCGTTTGTTGCCGGGCCCAGACATGGCCGCGGCGGCAGGAGCGGTGCAGGGTCTCCCCAGGAACGTCAGGCGGGAGGCGGCGGCACCTCCGTCACCTGCAGAAGACGGAGAGCATAGATATGGACGCGACCGGTGCTCCGCAGCCCAACCCTGCCCCGCACATACCTGCTGCATCCCGCCCCCACCGCCCCGGGCCCCTCACCTGCAGCAGGATCAGCCGAGCGCCGCCATCTTGGATTCACCAGACGTCACCCGGCCTCCCCAGCACAGAGCGCAGGCGCCAGAGGCAATGCCGGATATGGTGGAACTGCATTTCCTGTTTCTATTGGTCGCGCTTTGTCCCTCCTCTCCGGTTTCTTCCCGAACTTCTCCTCTTTCTCTCAGTGATTGGCCAGTAGGCGGTTCCTATGGTAACTGACACCACGTCCCACGCCCAGCCTAACGACCTCGCCAGCCTCTTATTAGCAACTTTGGAGAAACGTGGGGCACTTTGCAATTTATTACGCACGCGCATTCTCTTCTAATTGGTGAGTACATTACTCTTCCTTTTCCTCCCAGCGCCGCCTTAGCAACGGTCCGGGTGGAGACGCCCCCCGCGGATTGGCTGCAGCCGACCTCTCGGCTGCGTAGATTGGCTGAAGCGTGGTAGAGGGTCAGACCCAGGAAGTGCCTGAGGAGAACCGGTGGTCCCAGAACAGAGGCAGGTAGAGCCTGCGGTGACCGTGACACGGAGGAGCGGCGACATGACCCATCGGAAGTCCAGCCAACTCCAGAGCCCGAGAATGCAGCCGGACCTTGAACAACACTCCGAACTGCGGCGGGAAATCAAGAGGGACCTCAGCTCAGCGGATGAACTAGCCTCGCGTATGGGAACAGGTGTGCGGTCCGAGTTCGGCACCGTGGCCGCGGTGGAAGAGGAAGAAGATCCTGCAGCCAACTTGTTCCCGGTAAGGACGAGTAATCCGCTCAGCAATGTTATAAAAGGGCTCCCGACAGGGCGCCACCCGTGATATGTTTACTAATTTTAAGGCGTCTCCTGGGCTGCCTTGGTGAAGAGGGAATGTGTGACCCCGACTGTTAATATGCTCATTAGTAGGCCTTAGGGCCTGCTGAAGCCCAGCCCGCCCGCGTTGTTCGTTCACAGTCCTTAAGACGAGAAAGCAAGTTAACGAGTTCTCAGGTCCGCTGGAGGTTTGCCATGGACCAGGGACAAGGACTTTGGTCCAATCTGCTTTCTCTTCGCAGCCTCCTCTGCCCCAGCCCCGGATCTGCATGTGGTGAGTGTAAAGAGCTTTGGGAAAAGTTACATTTCACTCTTGCACGATTCCCTTAGTACTTCCCCAACAGTCCTGTCAAACAGCCAGGGCAGAAAAAAAAAGATAGGACATCCCCATTTTACAGATGAGGAGCCTGAGGTCCAGAGATGCGATTACCCAAGATGACTAGAAAATGGCTCTCCTGCCTCCACAGTCCAAAGAGCAAGTGTGGGAAGAAGGGAGCCAAAGACTGAGGATGTAAATAGAATGTCATAGCTGTCATGGAGCATTGTGCAAATGGGGACACTGAGGCCCACAGGGGTACTTGCCCAAAGTCATACAATAAGGGAGTGACAGAGCAGAAACAAGAACTCAAGTTTCCTAACTGTAGGCTTTATAATGAAAATAATCATAAGAATTCATTTAGGCCATGGCCAGTGGTTTAATGGTTAGAGCATCAGCATGCACTAAAACCTCACATGTTCCATTCCTGGTCAAGGGCATGTACCTGGGTTGCAGGTTCGATCCCTGGCCCAGTCGGGGCACAAGCAGGAGGCAACCAATTGACGGATGTCTCTCATATCAATGTTTCTTTCTCTTTTCCCCCTACCCCTCCCTCTCCCATTCTAAATATCAGTGTAAGAAATATCCTGAGGATTAACACACACACAAGTTCATTTAGACCGTATCAGTTATTTATAGATGGAAAACATGATTCCCAGAGAGGGAAGTGGCTTGCCTAAGGTCACCAGCAAGTTAGTGGAAAGGCCGAACTTCAAACTGAGGTTTCCTGGTTCCCAGTCTAGTGCTCTAGTCCTGCCTTGAGACTAATGTATAATGGCCACCAACACCATTTCTCCTCTTTTCCTATGGCAGGAAGTACCTGGACATCCATTCCATGCACAGGCTGGAGAAGACGGCCAACACTGAGGAGATGAGGGAGTATGGAGGGGGGGGGTGGAGAAGCAGGGAAGGGAAGGAGCATGGGAAAGGCTGAGGGTGTACTGGGAAGGCATGAGAAATCCTGGCTCCAAAGCATGCTGTACACTAGTGTGGGGTAGTGAAGGGAGGCTTCCATTGTCTCTCACTCTGTCCTCGCCCCCTCTCAAGGGTGCTGGCCAACCTGTTGGGGCTAGGATGGCCTGAGCAGAGCCTTCAGGATGCCATCACCCTGGATCTCTTCTCCCATGCACTCATCTTCTGCCGCCAGCAGGGCTTCTCGATGGAGCAGACATCAACGGCTTGTGCCCTGCTCCAAGATCTTCACAAGGCCTGTGTTGGTAAGAGGTGGCGGTGACCAGAAGGTTTGAGCCCAGGAAAGAGGATTCTGGATGGCACAAGTAACCATGGGAAGTAGAAATAGGGAGATCACCACCTGGAATCTGCTGTCATTACTAGCAGTGTTACCACACAGTTATTTCACCTATGAAACCCTTCATTTCCTTATCTATGAATACTGACTGTTCTGCTATAGGGGGGGGGGATGTATCAAAAAATGTATACACACTGAATAATTATTAATTCCAATGGGTTAAATCTGAAAAAAGACATTAGAATTAATAATTATACAGTGTATATATTTTTTAGGACACCCTGTATATGAAATATATATAAATATACGCACAGTGCTCAGTAAAATAGTTCTTGCTTTCTCCCTTTTATTCCCAGAACTGGTTTTCTTCAAAATGTTTAACAAGAGCTGAAATTATGTATTTCTTGGTTTATTGTATGTCACTTCCACTACCATGTCAGCCTCTTAAAGGGGCAAGACCTTATCTGTCTTGTTCAGTGCCCAGAAGTCATAGTGGGTACTCAGTGTTTGGGTTAATGAAACAACCCAGTACTTAAACCTAGATCTGTCCACTTCTAAAGCTCGTGCTCAGTAAGTAGCAGTTGAGTGAGTAAAATGAATGGTTATCACAGAGGTGACTCACTGGAATATCTTGTTTTCCCTCCCAGCAACCCCCCTGGGCAATGTGGAGGAATGTTACCGCTACTTCACCAGTGTTCTTTTTTGCCATGGAGTCAGGGTCAGTTCCCCTGATGGGATCTTCGCTCCTCCCCAGACAAGGTCTAGCCCAATCGCCTGTTCTCACCCTCATCACCCTCATCTTCCTCTGAAGGCCACAGTGGGCTCTCCCTGCTCCTGGACTGCTGGGCACTGGGAGAAAAGGCCAGAGCTTCAGGAGGTGGTCAGTCCTCTAACTCCCAATCACCCCCACAGCGGCCCCCTTTCAGTATCAACCTTTTTAAGGAGCAACAGCTGCTGGCCCTGGCTGATTATGTGGTCAACACCTACTTTCGCCACTTCAAGCTCTACAAATACGTCTTTACTCCCCAGGTATTGGGCCCTGGGCTACGAGACCACCCCTCAGCTCCCCACTTCCCTCAGTGCAGATGCCGTCCTCTCAGCTGCCCTCTTTGTCTTCCCAGGTGCGGCTAGATCTGTCTTTGACTTATTTAGGGCTGCAGCCACCCAAGCTCTGGTCAGAGGATGAGAGAGGTAAGGGAGAATGCCAGGGCTGGGGCTGGGGCTGGGGCTGAAGCTAAAGGTTCTTCCTGCTTCTGGTTGCAGAGAAAGAAGGTGGTGAGGAGGTGGAGGACCAGGCAGCCACCCTACAGGAGGAGGAACCAGAAACGGTGGCTGAGCCACAGCAAGAGCCAAGTGAGGACCTGGAGGAGTTTGGGTTCTCTATGATTTGGGGCAAATGTGAAATGAAGGGTTTAGACCACATCAGGACTTCAGACTTTTAGTCATGGTGTCCTTTCTCCAAATGATTCAGCGTGCAGGAGTCCAAGGTGACAGATAAAGCACAGCTGCTAGGAGCTCCAGAAAAACTGATGACAATAATAGCCAGCACATAGCTGATAACACTTTGTGCCAGGCAAGCCCTATTTTATTTTATTTTTTATTGTTTTTTAAATCCTCACCCGAGGACACTTTTTCTATTGATTTTTAGAGAGAGGGAAAGACAGAGAGAAACATCAATGTAAGAGAAACACATCAACTGGTTGCTTCCTGCATGCGCCCTGACCAGGGCTCGGGCCAGGGAGAAGCCTACAACCAAGGTACATGCCCTTGACTGGAATCGAACTGGGGACCCTTGGGTCCACAGACTTCAGACTTTTAGTCATGGTGTCCTTTCTCCAAATGATTCAGCGTGCAGGAGTCCAAGGTGACAGATAAAGCACAGCTGCTAGGAGCTCCAGAAAAACTGATGACAATAATAGCCAGCACATAGCTGATAACACTTTGTGCCAGGCAAGCCCTATTTTATTTTATTTTTTATTGTTTTTTAAATCCTCACCCGAGGACACTTTTTCTATTGATTTTTAGAGAGAGGGAAAGACAGAGAGAAACATCAATGTAAGAGAAACACATCAACTGGTTGCTTCCTGCATGCGCCCTGACCAGGGCTCGGGCCAGGGAGAAGCCTACAACCAAGGTACATGCCCTTGACTGGAATCGAACTGGGGACCCTTGGGTCCACAGGCCAATGCTCTATCCACTGAGCCAAACAGGCCAGGGCCAGGCAAGCCCTATTTTAAACATTTTATGTACATTAACCCATTTAATTCTCCCTCAATCCTAGATGCTAGGTGCTATCACTATCCACATTTTACGTAGGAGGAAACCTAAGGCATAGAGAGGTTAACTCACCTGCCTAAGTTCACAAAGCTATTAAGTAGCAATCCAGAAAGTCTGGCCGGAAGTAGCCATTCTGCCCACTTCTCTCACAGAAGGGCTGGCTAACATTTTCTGAATTGAAGCAATATTTCCACCTGTGTAGTCCCCAGGGACACCTTGCAAATTGCTTGCCCAGCTAGGGGCAATCCTTCAGCCCAAGCAGCATCTCTCCTTCCCTGCCCCGCAGGCCAGGTCTCCCTCCTCCGAGCCTACATCAAGACCCAGCTGAACAAGGAGCTGGAGCTGTTGCAGCAGCTGGTGGATGAGCGGCTCAAGGCCAGCGAGGAAAGGCTCAACAGCAAGCTGACCACACTAGAGCGGCCCTTCCAACTACCTCCAGGCAAAAACAAGAATAAGACCAAGTGACTCCCCGTGTTTTCCCCAATAAAGGCCTCGGCCAGAGTGGCCCCATTCGCGCCCCCACCCCCATCCTGAGCAACTTCTGGGCTTTCCTGCCAAAGCCAGACACCAGACATAGGGCATTGGCTCCCTGGTGTGTAGATTTTATTGCATACACAGCACAGGTAGCACTGACAAGGCCAGGCATGGCACTCTTAAGCGGCTCCCTTCTACCTCAGCTCTGATCTGAAAGCCCTGGCCAGTGGGGACAGACTGGACTTTATGATAGTACAGTGAGTGGTGGCCTAGCCAAGCAGTGGGGCCGGGGCCTACGGCCAGAGCCAAAAGGGGCTGGAATGATAAAAATCCTCCTCATGGAAAGTCCTGCTTTCTGGCATTCCCCAGGGCTCAGGTGCTAGCCCAGCACCAGCATGGCCTCATCCTCGGTGATAGCAGCTGAGTCCCCCTCCTCTTCAGGGCCCATGATGGGAAAAGGCCCAGGCGGCCGGTGCTGGAAGAGGGCTGCGCGGTTCTGCTGCTCGCCCTTCTTCACCCAGTGCCCATAGAGCCGGAAGGCACAGCTGTCAATGAGGCGCCGCACTGGCCGCAATGCATAGGGGTCCCTCAACAGCGCACTCTTCGTCAGCGGACGTGCATGGTGGATGCTTAAGGCCACTCGTCCAGCAGCCAACACTGTCCACACTGCCACCTGGGAAGGGGGAGGGGAGTGTGAGCTCCAGTATAGCACTGCCACAGGGGACAGAAGAATAGGCCAAGACCTGACCCTCTTATGCTTACCCGGAACCGCTGTCGGGGGGTGAGGTTCCAGGGTTGGCTGCCTTCACAACGCTCAAAGAAGGGGTGCTGTAGAGCTTGCTCAGCTGTCAAACGCTCTTCAGGATCCACTTGCAGCAGCCTTGAAATCTAGGGGAACGCCAGAACATGAGAGATAGCTCTTGGGCCTCCCGCCTTGCACCCTCAGGGTCCCAGCTCACCAGGTCTTTAACAGTGTTTGAACGGTCATCCCATTCGGGTGAGTTAAACTGGTACTGGCCTTCCATGATCATGCGTAACATCAGGATCTGACGCCGGTGCCAGAATGGTGGTGAGCCAGCCAGGAGTGTGAACAAGATGACCCCACAGGCCCAGCTGGGAAGAAGACCAAAGTCAGGCAGGAGTAGGTGCTGGGCAAATGTACACAGGAAGAGGACGGGATACCAGAAACTCACAGGTCGACCTCCTTGCCGTAGCCCGGGTGGGTTTCATCCATGGAGCATTTAAGGATCTCAGGTGCTAGATATCCTGGGGTCCCACACAACTCTGGGGAGAGAGGGCTGAGGTTGATGGGATGCCACCAGCCCCCTCATGGCCCTTAACACCAACCCTCTACTGGAGCCTCAACAAGTGTTCCTCATTCTGCTCCTGCCAGACTCTGCTGAGTCTCAGTACTAGACCCTGACCCTGGTGAACAACTCAACTACCCACCAAGGCTCCTGGTGGCCTTGGAGAAATCAAGAAAAACATGATTTTTAGATTTACTTCAAGGTCCTATCCAACTATCACTTGCCTCCAACCCTCTGGCCAAACCTACTCATTCCTCACACAAAGTGTTACCACATTTTTACATTCATAACATACATGAAAAACAAAACTTTTCTGCATTCCTTTCTGCGCAAATCTACTCTTCCTATAATCTCTACTCTGGTTGGTGGAACCACCACTCAAACCAAGGGGAAGGAGTGGGAGTATGGGATTTCTTCAAGTACATACTGGTTAAGTCCCTTATTTAAAACTCTTCCCTGGCTCCCAATATGGCCTCAAGATCAAGTCTATTCTTATAGCACAGAGCCCTCCATGACTTGATCCAAACCCTTATTTTTTGTTTCTACCACTTCAGGCCCCAATTCTAACATCCTAGAAATTTCCAAACTGTATTCCATGGCACACTTCCAGGAGAGCTTAATAGGCCTAAACTGAACATGACTCTCAGGAAACTCATTCCTAAGCTAAGTATTTATTGCCTACCATGTACCTAGCACCACATTGGACACAGTGGTAAATTAGATGTGCTCTTACTAAACTTCATGTCCACTAAAAAGCAAATGAGAAATAATAGAGTAAGATGGGTGCCATGAAGGGAGTAAAGAACAAAAAGGAAAGGCCCTAGCTGGTTTGGCTCAGTGGATAGAGCGTTAGCCTTTGGACCAAAGGGTACCAGGTTTGATTCCGGTCAAGGGCACGTGCCTGGGTTGCAGGCTTGATCCCCAGTAAGAGGTGTGCAGGAGGCAGCAGATTAATGATGCTCTGTCATCATTGATGTTTCTATCTCCCCCTTTCCTTCCTCTCTGAAATCAATAAAAATATATATTTTTTAAAAAGAACAAAAAGAAAGGGATCTAGCCCGGCCAGCATTGTTCAGTGGTTAGCATCAGCCTGTGAACCATGAGGTCATGGTTCGATTCCCGGTCAGGGCACATGCCCTGGCTGCAGGCTCGATCCCTAATGTGGGGCATGCAGAAGGCAGCCGATCAGTGATTCTCTCTTATCATTGATGTTTCTCTCTCTCCCTCTGCCTTCCTCTCTGAAATCAATAAAAAAAAAATTTTTTTTTTTAAAAAGAAAGGAATTTAACCTAGAACATTCAAGTGAAACCTGGTACCAAAGCTAAGAGAGAGGGTGGAGTGGGCAATGGTGAAGGTGATTCCAGAATGGAGAAAAGTATATTCGGAAGCACAGAGGAAAATACAGCACAACATCTGTAAGATATGTAAGTCCACAGATTAACAGCATTAGAGTCAGACTGCCCAAGTTCAAATCCCAGCCACAGGAACTTGGGCAAGTCACAACACATCTATAAAATGGACACACAAATGCTATGTTGAGGGGGGGAAAGGAGGACACCTGCAATAATTTCAACATTAAAAAATTTTAATAATAAAAAAGTTGAGAGGGTCTAGAGAAATAAGCCACGTAAAGACTCAGCATGGAGCCTAGCTCACACTAAGCACTCAGTAAATGTTAATAAATTCAGTGCAGAGCCCATTGAGGGAGAGAAAGTAGCATATTAAAAGCTCTGAGGCCCTGACCGGTTTTGGCTCAGTGGATAGAGCGTTGGCCTGCGGACTGAAGGGTCCCAGGTTCGATTCCAGTCAGGGGCACATTCCTAGGTTGCGGGCTCAGTCCAACATGCAGGAGGCAGCCAATCAATGATTCCCTCTCATCATTGATATTTCTATCTCTCTCTTCCCCTCCCTTCCTCTCTGAAATCAAAAAATATATTAAAAAAAAAAAAAGTTCTGAGGAGTCTTGCAGTTGAACTTTGCTTAGTTTTCCATTTGCACCAGAATTATTTTGTCACAACAAATGTATTAACACTGGGTGAACCTGAGTCCCAGAGTACCAGGTTCCTCATAGCACCTAAGACCCACACTGTTAGACCCCAAGTGTGCAGCTGAGTCCTGCTATGCCCTTCTCCCTTTTTCCTCCTGGGACAAGCCCAGCCTCCCAAAGCCCAGCTCGGAGCCCCTGCTCTGTAGGTCCCTCTAGCTAAATCAGGTGCTCCTTTCTCCTGGTTTCCCCACATGACCCCTAGCCCCTGCTGTGTGCCACTTATCTGCTCACTTTCCTGTCTCCATCCTCCCCAAGTCAGGAAATACATTCTGAGCTGCAAACAAGGCTTTGCACCCAGAGGGTACTTGGCAAGTGTTTACTGACTCCCCTTTGCTTGGTAGCTGGGACTCAGTTCTCAGATCCAGCCAAGCACTCATGTCTGGGTCTCCTTCCCTCTCAAGCCTCTTAGGGCACCAGGTCCCCTCACCTCGAAGCTTCTCGCCAGGTTCCAAGTGGCAGGAGAATCCAAAATCGGAAAGTCGGATCTGCATATTGTCATCTAGGAGAATATTCTCGGGCTTCAGGTCTCGGTGCACAATGTTGTTGGCATGGAGAAAGTTCACTGCTTCCAGCAGAGACCTCATGATGGACCTGGGGGAGGGGCAGTCTCCTCTGCTTCTCCCTGCCCCACCCCACTCCCTGCTCACCCCAGGGGCTGCAGGCTCAGCCATTACCTGGTTTCCTTTTCTGAGAGGGCCACCTTCTCTGTGAGATAGTCAAACAGCTCTCCCTTCCGCATCCTAGGAGATAGGAGTGGGAGGGAGGGAGGTGCACCTCACAGTGAGGGCTGAGAAAATAAGCCAGTGCTCAGAGAAAATACTATAGAACAGGCCAGTAGAGAGATTTCTCTGGCCTGGCTGGTGTTGCTCAGTGGTTGAGTGTTGACCCATGCACCACGAGGTTGTCAGTTCAATTCCCAGAAAGGACACATGCCTGGGTTGCAGGTTCGATCCCCATTGGGGGGCATGCAAGAGGCAGCCGATTGATGTTTCTTTCTCATCGATGTTTCAATCTCTCTCTCCCTCTTCCTTCCTCTCCCTCTAATATAAATAAAAACATGTTTTTTCAAAAAGAGAGAGAAATTCCTCTGTAGACAAACTAAAGGGTCTCAAGACAGAGCACTCCAAGAGTGAGAGGAATGCCAGGGGCAGTTTGGCCCAGTGGGTTGGCAGTTCAAATATCTTCATTGTGCCTGAGGGGGCTATTTCAGCAAGAATGAGTGCCTTCTTGTGCCAATAATTTTCAGGCGGTCCTTGTTATCTGGTACTCAAAAAGGCCTTTTAAAGTGTCTCTATTTATAGCACCGACCAAAATTTCAATTAATAGTAGAAAAAAAGTTGTATAGGGCTTTGATTTTTGCTTATTTTGTCTTCTCTTTAAAGAGTGAGGTTATAATTGTAACTTTGTGTCAATCATTGAAATATAAAAAACACATCAGGTATTGTTTTGGGAGTATTATTGTTGGGCAAAGTTGCATAATGGGTAAATAAAATGGACACTTCCAACCTCCCCTCACACTTTTGCAGAGGGTCATTTCTGTATGAAAATATTTTCCAAGGCCTCTCTTAAATATTTAATATTCAAACCATTCTCTTTTGAAGAACCTTTGCAACTGGTTTGCATTATATGGTATAGCATGTGACATTCAGATTTACATTGACCAGAAAAAGAATTGATGAGCAGAGATAGACACCAGCATAGGGTGTTAAACAATGTGAGACTGGTGAGCAAATATCTATTTTATAAGTGGTCAGTTCCTAGACAGACACTCTCAAATCAGCCCTTTCCTCCCTGCTAACCTTATAACCATGGGGGATTAAGAGAGTTGGGGATTTGGGTCATAAAGACCCTTTGTCTTTGGTCACTATTACTCTTTTTTTTAAAATATTTTATTGATTTTTTACAGAGAGGAAGGGAGAGGGATAGAGAGTTAGAAACATCGATCAGCTGCCTCCTGCACACTCCCTACTGGGGATGTGCCCACAACCAAGGTACATGCCCTTGACTGGAATCGAACCTGGGACCCTTGAGTCCATAGGCTGACGCTCTATCCACTGAGCCAAACCGGTTAGGGCCACTATTACTCTTTGAAGAACGTGCCTCAATCAGGGCACCAAGGAAAGAGGCCAGAGCCATGGACTGCCAGGCAGGCCCTGGCTGGAACAGAGGAAGGTGTGAGCAGGGTGGTCTTCAGCCCACTGTGCTGTGAGTCTGGGGCTGTGCATGGAGGTGAGGAGGCTTCTCAGATTGGGGCAGGGAGATACTCACAAGTCAAACACCAGGAACATGAAGCTAGAAGACTCGTAGGAATCGATGAGAGTGACTGGGGAAAGAGGCAGAAAGGCAGAGAGACAGAGATGGAAAGGAGCGGATGCATATTAAAGGGGCTTTCCACCCTGAGGCAACAGTGGCTGTTACTGGGAAGGAAAATCAAAGGAGGCAGTAGGGACCCAAAGGCTGGCCACACTTTGAGGTGGAACAGAGCCAGGAGGAAGGGAGCAGAGGGGCGGAGGCAGTGTTGGGGGGAATGGGCTCTGGGCAGGACCAGCAGGATGTGGCTGTAATCTAACAGGAACAGGGGATGCAGCCTCACTGATATGGGGGTGGCCAGCGACCTGGCGAAGGATGTGTGTCTCTCGCCGCGTGGCTTCCCGCACCTCCTCCAACTGCTCAGGACTCAGTCGCTCAGCCGTCACCTCCATGATTTTCACCGCAAACTCATGGCCAGTAGCTCGATGAACACAACGGCGGACCACAGAGCTCACTCCTCTGCCAGAGTCAGACAACACAGGGGTCAGGGCCTCCTACTCTCTCGTTTCCAAACAGAGTAGAGCCTCGGCACCCTCATATATACTGCACCAGATTCTGAAGACCCATCTGGACAAGGCAACCTCCCAAGAAGCTCGTCCTGGCCTACAATAGATTCACAGTGGCCTCAGCAAGCAACGCAGGTGCCCAGGAAGGTGAAACACAAAGCTAACAGGGAAGGCAGGCCCAGGTGTTGGTTTCTAACCCAGCCTCTGCCATGCCCTCAATGAGTGAACCTAGACAAGTCCCTTCTACACTGAGCCCCAGAACCTGCCCCTGGCCCCGAAACCTCACAAGGAGAAAGTGAGAAGAAATTACCTAAGACTCCTTCCAATTTTACTCACACTTCCTGATTACCCCATCCAAACCCCACAGTTCCCCTACATTAGCTCAAGCACAGGAGGTTCTAAATAAATATTGGGCAAGTGACTAGAAGACCAAAGTTGAGAATTAAAGATATCAGTTTAGGCCCCAAATTTGCCACTAATTAATCTCTAAGGAACCCACTAACATAAGGTCTCTGGGTTTCCGCTTCCCCAGCTCTGAAATGTAGCCAAAACTATCTTGAAGGGATGCTGAAAGACAGACTGAGGTAGAGACAGGAAAGCCCTTTTGGCACTGTAAAGAGAAAGTCCTAGACAGATTTCCTCGCTTGGGCTCCGTCACCAACTCTCTCTGACTTCAGGCTAAGGTGCAAATCTTTCCAGGATCACACCACATTTCACAGGCTGATTCCCTGGCTGCCCTTCACATAACCTCCTGCTGTGCTCTCACGGCCCCCTTGACCTTACAAAACTCCCTTGGTTTGGAATGCCTGTCACCCATATCTCTGGTTCGATCAAAGGATGCAAACTATTAACCCTCTGGCTAAACAGTCCATATATGAATTACGTTTTGGTCAGTCCAATATTCTTTCCAAATCTGAATTCATACATCTTAGATGGGACAAGAATCCTCCAGCTGCCACAATGCTTACCACTTCCTACTGTCTTACTGTTAGCCACTCACAGTTTTATTTTGTGCTCAACCACTAAATGCATCTGAGTTTGAGGCCTAGTACAACTATTTTAAAGCTTCAGGTCTTTAGACATGAAGAAACTGATACTCTGGGAAAATTGAGTGAGAGTGTGCAGGAAAAACAAGAGGGAAAATAGAGGAGACAAGGGATCATGCTACCACAGTAACCTTGGAAGGAGATGAATAAGACACTACCCTCTGATCTGCCTTTGCCAAAACTGGCCTTTCTGTGCCCCATGGCAGTGGAATCACCATTCTTCCCTGAGGTTCTTCCTAGCCTCTGTGAATCCCCCCTTACCTGGTCCTGAAACCCCGCTACTCAGGACTTGGATCTCAGCTCTCTCTCTTCTTTTCCCAATACTCTCCCCTGCTGACCTCCCTCCAGTCCCAGGAGCTTTAATAGCAACTATGTGTAAATGATTCCTGCTACACTGTCCTGAGCCTTCATTATTTCTCTCCAGAATTCCAGATTT